TTTGTAGTAGCCTGTTCTATGGTAGTCTCTTGTCCTCGAAGTAGGTTGGATTACTACTTCCAAGGCATTCGATGGGTATTGTGGTCAAACATGCATAAATTTGATTGGAATAGACTGATTAGCAAAAAAATAAAGAATTGGATGCTCTTGCTGACAATCAGATATTGTTGGATTGCAGTGGTCCTTTATAGAGTGAAATAAATCTCACATGTGTACTGTGTTTCCCTGAAAATAAGACCCTGTCTTATATTTTTTTGAACCCCTAAATAAGCACTTGGCCTTATTTTTGGGGAGGTCTTATTATTTTGGGGTGCGTGGAGCAAGATGGGGCTTCTCTTGCCGTCTTACCTGATTTCCAACTCTGTCTCCCTAACCCTAATCAGAGGAAATGGGGGGGGACCGGCTGTGTATGAGTTTAAATATTTTTGGGGAGGTCTTATTTTTGGGGGGGGGGCTTATTTTAGCGCATGCGCTCAAAAGCCCGATTGGGCTTATTATCAGGGGATGTCTTATTTTCGGGGAAACACGGTATTTGGCTTCCTCTTTAATTGTGAAGCTCATTAAAGCATCATGTCAGGCAAGAAAGTTCAGGTCCACACGTGAAAATCCAATGAAGCTGATTTATTGCAACTCATGTTTACGCATAGGAATCTTTTCAACTAACACTTAGCATCTGCTAGGAGTTAAATGACAGTCAATGGAATTCAAGGGAGGCTGGGTTTAGTTTTCTTGTGGCTATGTAGGGATTCTAGGCTGATGCCTCTTTTTAACTCCACCCCCAGGTTCTGCCACTCCTTCCCCTACATTTCAGTAATTTCTGATATTTAATCCTGCTTATTACAAACAAGAAATGAGGTCCTAACATTTTCTCCACACATAAATGTTTTAGGTGACAGCAGCAGTATGTTGTGGAAGGGATACTGTGCAATTCTGGAGAAATTGCCGAAGCAAAAATAGAAAAGCCTGGTTCAGGATGAGGGGAATTGGAGTTTGCGCTATCTGATGGTCATTGGCTAAACAGCAGAGCATTGGGTGTTTGTTAGCCATCTGTTGAGCAGGCATTCATTGAATACCCAATTACTAATAGCCGTTGGTCACCCTAATGTGCTAAGGACAGGGAATGTATTAAAAGACAGTAGCTTTTGATAAGTTCCTTCAATGCCACACTAAAATCCCTGTGATTGGAGATTAATCAGAATAGAGCTGGAAGAGACCTTGGAGATCATCTAGTCCAACCCCCTGCTCAAGCAGGAAACCCTATACCATTCCAGACAAGTGGCTGTCCAGGTTCTTTTAAAAAGCCTCCAGTTGATGAAGCACCCACAACTTCTGGAGACAAGCTGTTCCACTGGTTAATTGTCCTCCCTGTTAGGAAGTTTCTAACAGGACAATTAACCAGTGTTAATTAACAACTAGCAATTAACTCAGAGATGATAGGTAAAGGCCTTGTGCCATTGTCAATCCGAAAAGGGCCTCCTCCTCCTGGGAGCTGAAAAAAGTAGATTGACTTCTTGAAAAAAAGGACATTTTGGGGAGGCTTCAAAGCCTTGGGGAGCCAGCCTGTTTCACCTCAGACCAGTTTAGCTCTGAATTGCTTTGCTTCCAAAGGCGGTCTGCATTTCTCTGAAGTGGAGATAATTGGCCATGGATTTGGGTTTTCTCTGATCAATACCAGCCAACCTCACTGGCACTCTTAAGTGGTTGGGGGGTTTTTTGGGGAGGGGGGGGAGACCACGGGTGAATGTTTGCTGTCTATTTGCTAGTGACTAGCCTTTATTTAAGGGGAACTAAAACCCAGTGTTTTTAAGAATAAGCTGGAAGTAATTTGTACTTCCCACTCTAGTTAATTATCTTTGGCTGAAGAGCTCCCCTCAAATCTTACCAGTAGACTAATTATAATGTTTAGATGCATAAAAACCTTGGGAGGTAGCTGTATCTGTAACAAATTATTATTATTTTTTTCCAAATTTAAGTCTTAATTTTCTAAGTTGCTCTGCTCAACATGTGTGGCTTCTGCTGGTTTGCTGTGGGACATTAAAGGAAGACCTTATACAAAAGGGATTAGTTGAAGGGCAGCTTTCTGATACATGCATTTGCCTAAATACTGTCAACGTAATATTCATAAGATTTCTTAAGAGAGTATAAATATTATTGGAAATAGCAGGTAGCTTTTTCAAAAATTCCACCAGCCTGAGAATGCTGCAGAATAACCTATGTCTTGTTTTAAACCCATTCTGCTGGCAGCTGATAGGCAAATATGGAGAAAGAGCATCTAATGTTCCCTTTGAGATAAGGAATGCTTCTGGTGTGTTGGGAATGACAAACTCCTCTTAAAAATACACAATGTGCATTCAAATTGGATAGTCTGCAGAGTCTGGCAAAATACGGGCAATTGGGAAATTGTTCAGGAGCGGGATATGCCTAGGATGCCCCACAAAAATGTTGTGCAGAAAGTTGAACAAATTGTAATTCTATCTAGCATCTTTGTCATCACTTGAGAAAATATGCTCGAGAAGAGATGGCAGGAAAAAACATTTGGGTTGGGTCTGCAAAAGATAGGAGTTGCCCTTCCTCCCTTTCAGCACACACACAGACACACACACACACGAACCTAGACCTAACAGGAGATCTTAAATATTCCCTAGTTCCCACCTGGGTAGTATTTTAAGAATATATTACCCTGTTTCCCCTAAAATAAGAGTCAACTGGAAAATAAGCCCTAGTATTTTCAAGATACGGAAAATAAGCCTGAACATTTTTAGGATGCTTGTAATATAACCCCTACCCCCAAAATAAGCCCCAGTTAAGATTGTCAGCCAGACGGACGCATTTAATACTGTATTTCCCCAAAAGTAAGACCTAACCGGAAAATAAGCCCTAATGTGTCTTTTGGAGCAAAAATTAATATAAGACCCAGTCTTATTTTTGGGGAAACATGGTATTTTCCTCTTTAAAAATCTTCTGGCTTGACTCTTGGGGTCTACATCGGGAGTCTCCAACCTTGGCAACTTTTAAGGCTTGGGGGCTTCAATTCCCAGAATTCCCCAGACAGCACAGAAGTTGAAGCCCCCAGGCCTTAAGGTTGCCAAGATTGGGGAATTCTGGTCTACACAGACACATATATTCATGTAATTTTCTTGGCATGTATTTGGAAGTAGTTCGCCATTGATTTTTCTATTAAATCCCTAGACATTCTATTCTAGCATCGAGCTTTGGGATTTCTTAAAGATTGCTAGTTCAAATCCTAATTTGCATTAAATCCACAGGTAATCCCTACCTTCTGGCCACATTTTGGACCAGAATTTCCATTGCTAAGCAAGGTGGTTGTTACGAGTGTCACTCCCAGTTTTATGGCCCTTTTTGGCCACTATTAAGTGAATCGCTGCAGTTCTTAACTAAATCACGAAGTTATTCTGCGAATTTCCTGTACTTATTGGTAGCCAGCTGGGAAGGTTGCAAATGGCGATCACATGACACTGGGATGCAGCAACCATCGTGGATATATGCCGGTTGCTACTTGCCCAAATTTTGATCCCATAACTATGGGGATGCTGTTACAATCGTACATGTGAGGACCGGTCCAAATGTTTCCAGTTGTAACTCCACAAACGGTTTTTAAACGAATGATTGGAAGTCGAAAACTATCTGTAATCCATCTTTTAAAGTAATTTTTTTTTTTTTAGTGCTTGCCCTGAAGCTTGAAAAAAATGGGTTCTAGCAGGAAGGAAATGCATCTGCATGAAGTCTGAGGCCTTTCTTCCCAGTCGTTTCCACAATTCTGGCTTGACTGCTGAATTTTGCAGCCAAAAGTCATGCCGATGCTAAGGAGGTCGGATGCAGGCAGGATTGTGTGACCCAGTGGTGAAATCCAACCTTTTTTTTTACTAACGGTTTTGTAGGCGTGGCTTGGTGGGCGTGGCTTGGTGGGCATGGCAGGGGAAGGATGCTGAAAAATCTCCATTCCCACCCCACTCCAAGGGAAGGATACTGCAAAATCCCCATTCCCACCCCACTCTGGGGCCAGCCAGAGGTGGTATTTGCCAACTACTCAAAGTTTCCACTGCCGGTTCTCCAGAACCTGCTGGATTTCACCCTTGGTATGACCCCCCCTCCGTATATGGAACATTATGATTCTGCAGTATGTCAACCATCCTAAACTTTCATGTATGTTTCTTTGATTCTGTTAAAGTCCCTTAACTGAGTTGAACCAAAACATTGTGATAAGGAGAGAATAGAAAGTGAACACATTTGAACTTTAGGGGTGATCGTTCTAAGACGGAACTTTTCAAATATACTTATTTATTTCTATTCCAAATATAGCTTGTTGATACAACTATTAGTAATTCTCTCTGAATGAGTCATTAATAAAGACATAGTTTGGCTGTCTGAGAATGGGGAATAAGACTCATCATGTAAAAGCAGTGTTACTTGAGTTTTCTGGAATTTCTGAATGCAAAAATTTCCCAGGGCCTAACCCAAGGTCTGATTTGACATGCTTGCTTAGCTTATTCCTCTAGTAAACAAAAACTAATATATTCAACATTACGGCAGCATCCCCATGGTCACATGATCAACATTTGGACCCTTGATAACTGGCTCATATTTATGGCTGGGTCATGTGATCACCTTTTGAAACCTTTTGACAAGCAAAGTCCATGGGGAAGCCAGATTCACTTAACATCCATGTTCCTAACTTAACAACTGCAGCGATTCACTTAAGAACTGTGGCAAGGAAGGTCAGAAAAGAAAAAGTCACTTAATAACTGTCTCGCTTAGCAACAGAAATTTTGGGGCTCAATTGTGGTCGTAAGTCAAGGACTACCTGTAACTATATCCTCTTTTGACGTCTAGTTTAGTGTAGTGGTATTGTTCGATTGTTAGTCGTGACAGAAGATGGATGCCAATTTTAAGGACACAGAGATACTTTCTTTAAAGATAGAGGAAGATTTGGAGAGAAAGATACGACTTGCATCACTTGTTGTGGTTTTCCTTTCTTTCAGTTCTTACAACACCTCCATCACTGCCACCTCCAATGCAGGCATATGCATTTAAACCTCCCCCTCGACCAGATTTTGGTACTTCGGGAAGAACAATCAAACTGCAAGCCAATTTCTTTGAAATGGACATCCCCAAAATGGACATCTATCATTACGAATTGGATATAAAGCCTGAGAAATGTCCTAGAAGAGTTAACAGGTACGTCCCATCCTTCCCCCCCCCTCCCGATTCCCCATAGTTTCATACATCTCTTTTTTATTTTTGTTTAAAATAAGTGCATTTCAAAGCATGTAGTTTGGTGCTGAGCTATTTCTTTTTTATACCATCTTAAATATTTTCTTTTTTTCCCCTCCCCTATGGTTAGAGATATTGTATTTTATATACAACTTTCAGACTTAATCAGTTTTGCGGATATGACCGTTCACATCTCACAAATTTCATCTCCTTCGGTCACTCCCGGTCCTGCTTTCTGGTTGGTACTGTAGTTTGCAAGCAAGCCTCTTAAACGGGGAGGTGGTGATGCCAGACTGTTTATTTTCCTGTCTTCACCTGCTGGCAGGAGGAAGCAGACATATTTGTCTGGTTGTATAAAAGGACTTTGGAGAAACTATATATAAGAACAGGTAAGTTTTACCTGCCTTCCGCTGGGTACCTCTGAATGGAAAATTGATAGACGAAGATAGGGGTAGGTTGTTGGGTTTCATTCTAAGAGATTTTTGTGATGAAAATGACTGTGATGGAATTGATAACGAACTGCTGTGAATTGTGATATTTAAATGAGCCCAGTGTTGATATGATCTGATTATAATGGGTTGTGAGAATAACCTTGAGAGTCAGGAGGAAGAGCTGCAGCTTAGATTACGGTCTGATAACAGAAATCCCAGTCCTGGACAGAAATGTAATCTGAGTAAGCATCTCCAAAGGGACCCTCCCTAGTTTTATGGAAAGTAAAGGCAGGGGAGGGGGAAGTGCTTTAGACTTTCAAGCTTTTGTTACAGGCAGTCTTTGACTTAACAACAGTTCATTTAGTGACCATTTGAAGTTACAACGACGCTGGAAAAAATGACTTATGACTGTTTTGAATACTTACGACTGCTGCAGGATCCCCATGGTCATGTGATCAAAATTCAGATGTTCAGATGTTCCCGGAGAAAGATAGTAGTTTATACTATTGATCCCTTTTTGCGGTGCTTTCTCAGCTGTGCTCTTGCTAGCAGTGATCCCGCGCCCTATATGGGGAATGGTTGAAGCATTTAAATGGATGAAGCTGGACATTTTTGCAGGAGAATAATTTTTGGTTCTCTTCGTTGTTCCTTCAGGAGAATATATTAACCTGTATCTGTACGACCTCCTTGAATTGAGGTTTCTAGAACTAATATGGGATAGATTCTATAGTCTTTGGGCCATTGATTAAAAAAAGAGATGAGACAGTCTGGATGATCTCTTCATTGGAATGCGAAAGGAACTAGGCAATGAGACAGAATCCTTCGGGGGTCCTTAAGCTTCTTTTTCCCTCACCGTTTGTGTATCCCATGCCTTGCGATTATTATAATCAGCGTTGTCAAGAGTTCAACAATCAGCAGGGACGGTCGGTCATATCACGTTCCCGCAAAGGTTGCTAAGACAAATCTGAACTGAGAAATAGATTCAAATAAATTACCTTTATCCAAGAAAGCCCAAAATTTAATTGTCGTTCTTTGTAGGGGCTTTGCTTTCCAAAAGAAGATGGGAGACAGGACAGGCCTGCAAGGTTTGCTTTAGCAAAAGTCACACAACATTGTCTTTTAGAGGTGATAGAGCACAATCTTCTTTTAAAAGAAGCATTTATAACTCAAATTGGCCCTGGTGTTTCTGATTGCTCATTTTAGCAGAAATCTCCTCAAGGTGCACCTGGGTGTAACAAGCTAACAATTGGCTTTTCTGCTTGAAGCAATGTGCCCTGGAACCACTGGATGAGCACAACAAAGCTCACCCTTCACAGCTGGCTAGGGGATCCCAGTACTGGCCTCAGAATGTCCCCATAACAGAAAATCCAACCTGGAGGAATATGAGCCATTTTATCATGTGAACGTTAGAGTCAGACAATTTTCTTAATAATCTTCTCTTAGCCTCTTTGGTTTTTGTATTTTATGCAATAAGCAAATCACTAACTAACAAAGAGAACACACAGTTACTCACCTTACCTTTACTCTGCACAGAGTGACTTCTACTATCACTCGGAATTGTTCTAGCATGTTGTAAAGCAAAGGAAAAGGGTTTCTCTTCATTGTGGCCAATCAGCTGAGGACACAGGTTTATATTGCATACCTGTTCCTTAGTTGATCCAGGGGTCTTCACCTGTGGTTTTAAGTCACTTCCAGCTTTCTGCCATATTCTGTTTTCCAATATAACAACAGCACAAGAGCCGCTCAGAGTAACCTTATAGGGGAGATGGATGGATGGATGGATGGATGGATGGGAGGGTGGATGGATGGATGGATGGATGGATATTTCTCAACCTCAGCAATTTTTAGATGCATGAACTTCAACTAGAATTCTATAGGCACCCTGCTAGCTGGGGAAGTCTGGGAGTTGTAGTCCACACTTCTTAAACTTGTTGAGGTCGAGAAACACCAAGACAGATAATAAATAAATCTTGTGTACAGAACTCTGAGAGAATACATGGAAAATGCTCTAAATTGAGTAGTTTTCAACCAACCCTTTAAACGCTGCTTTGGTTTATAATTATTGATCACCTATTATTATATTTCAATACTTTATCTGAATAGCAGAAGATCCTTTGTTCATACGGTTCTCTGTTTCCAGAGAAATAGTTGAGCACATGGTGCAGCACTTTAAAGCCCAGATCTTTGGAGATCGCAAGCCAGTATTTGACGGGAGAAAAAATCTCTACACCGCAATGCCGCTTCCAATAGGGAGAGATAAAGTAAGTATATAATGCTAAGTTTGGCTCTTAATTTCTATTTGTGCAAATATAATTTTATGGTTGGGCGAAATGTATATTTGTTCCGTATTATTTACTTGTTAAGCTGAATATTAGTGTGTATATGTGTTGAGGAATTAGTGTGTGCTGCAAGTTCCCGAGGAAGGATCTGTGACAATTCTCTGTGGCCAAGTCGCCATGGCCAACTCGCTGCAGCCAACTCGCCATGGCCAACTCGCCATGACCAACTCGCCATGACCAACTCACCATGGCCAACTCTCCAACTTGCCATGGCCAACTCGCTGGGGGCCAACTTGCTGCGGGTCAACTCTCTGCAGGACAAGAGTTACACTGATATTAAAGAAATGGTGGAATGGAACAAAATGAAATATGAATGACAAAAATTAAAATGTTTTTTTAATTTATTTTAAATAATTAAAATGAATTGTTAATTTGTCCTGCGGTGAGTTGGCTGTGGCAAGTTGTCCCATGGAAAGTTAGCAGTGATGAGTTGCTGCGGTGAGTTGGCTGTGGCGAATTGTCCCATTCCGCCCGTGGAGTACTGTGCAATGAACTCGCCAGGAGACGAGAGTGCAAATAGTGTGCTCTGGTGAGGGAGAGTTGGGGAGTCCTTTAGAATAACCAGTAATTTTGCACAGTCATGTGACCTACCATGTAATCAGAGCTTTATCTCTAAGACCTATTAATTATCTATTAATTAAAGAGGGCCTGGTTAAAACACCCCCTTGCCAAACAGTATGTAAAATCGTATCTTTATTGAATGCATTGAACGAAAATTCGCCATCTGTCAGAAAAGAAATACGCAAAGCCTTCAGACGATCACCCTTCTCAAGCAGGATGAATCTAATGAATGAAATAGCAATCTGGTTTGAATCGGAGGGTCCTCCGTTATTAAAAATAATAGCACATATATTAGTTGCTGCCTTTGGAGTTTGGTGTTTGTGACACGGGTTTGTGGAAATGAATCCTGCCCCTAGAAAATGTGTTCTCTGCTTAGAAGAAACCCTGCATGTCTTTCTTGGTGTTTGGGTCTGACATCAGTTCGGTCACTGATGGAACAAATAACTCTGGATTATATCAGCAAATTCTACAAGAGGAATCAAGGCTATCTGTCCATTAACTGATGCTTAAAGGAATGCAGTCAGGTAGCACAACAACGATGTTAAGCAGTCAAATCTATAACAGATGGTTAAACAGGAGGGATTCTGTATTTTGGAATGGCGAAATCAAAGCCTTCACTATAATCCAATTGAAATGTTGGGGCATGACCTGGTGTGAAGTGTTTAGACAGCACAGCCCCAACACAGCAACAATCATTCCATAAAGAGAAATGGACCATATTCCCGATCACTTGATCAATAGGTTCAGGAAGTCTTTGGCTGAAGTGCCCATTGCTAAAGAAGCTGCCACCTGTTTTCTAAATCTAAAATTTCATGTAATCTTTTCCAACAAAGAAAAGTCTGTGTGTTCCTTAAAGGCAGGACATAATATGCTGTTTGCAGTGTTGTTTATTTAACAGCATTCTCTTTAGAAGAGAATATTTGTAGCTCAGGGTTGAACTGTGGAGTCCTTGTTGCTCTCTGAGCTTGGTCGTTTTCTTGAAGACGTTTCATGACCCAACTAGGTAACATCATCAGTGCTAGCAACCAAGCTCAGAGAGCATCAAGGACCCTACAGAAACCTCTTTATCTATTATTTGGTGAAACTCATATCACATTATAGGTCAAAGTACTACTAGTGAAAAAGGATTCATACATTTTTCCTCATTGCTATAAATGCCCCCTTTCAAGTCTAGGATTCCGTGAAGGTTGAACATAGGCCATGTTAAGATAAGCAAGTAGGAGAATCAGTTAATTTGATGTCCCACCATACATGTTAAAACGGATGCAGTGATCATTATAAAGCAGTCTTCCTTGATTGATTTTTCTCCTATCTGGTTGGCTATCAGAGTGCACCAGGTTGGTGTAAAGGCCTTTCTGAGAAATAATCTATAGGTTTGGAAGCCATCAAAGGACAGGTAAGTGATCCAAAATCATTATCTAATGTTGTGTGAACCTTGTCATAAATTAAGTGGATGAAAAGAGACAACTTTTTTTCACTTGTGGCATCCTAATTCTAATTCCTTTCTCCGAGTGGACTTGCATTTCACTGATCTGAATACTTCTGTCTGGCGCTTTTTAGTCTCTCGGATAACCATCTTGCCTTAAATCGCTTTCCATTGCCCTTTTTTTTCTTTTTCATTAAAAGGGATGCTGCCCTAGCAGGCTAGCTTTTTTTATACCTTCTGAAAAAGGTTGCAGTTCTTTGCAGGAGAATCCACTTCTCTTCCTCCCCTCTTCCCTCCTTCCTCCAGCGTGGATGCTTAAGCGGAAAGAATCATCTTGTACTGCTTTCCAAATGTTGCAGGTGGAATTGGAGGTCACGTTGCCAGGAGAAGGGAAGGACCGAATATTCAAGGTAGCCATCAAGTGGATGTCGGTTGTGAGTCTTCAGGCATTGCACGACGCTCTCTCCGGTCGTCTTCCAAGTGTTCCTTTCGAAACCATTCAAGCTCTTGACGTGGTGATGAGGCACCTGCCCTCCATGAGGTGAGAGTTGGGTTCCCACACGGAGGTTCAGAGGCCATTATGAACTGAGAAGGGGCTCCTTGTTGGCCGTTGGGCTCCCTGCCCTCCTTCCCTGATTTTCTTCTTCAGCAGTCTTTGAATTATTAAAAGAAGAGAATACAGGTAATCCTCGGCTTACAACAGTTCATTTAGTGACCATTTAGTCTGACTGCAGCACTAAAAATAGTGACTTACGAACGTTTTTCGATCATTGCAGTAGCCCCACAGTCACATGATATACATTCGGATGCTTGCCGACTGACTCATATTTATGACGGTTGCAGTGCCCTGGGGGGTCCTGTGATCCCCTCTTGTGACCTGCTGACAAAGCAAAGTCAAGGGGGATGTCATATTCACTTTAACAACCGTGTTATTAATTTAACAACTGCAGTGATTCACTTAGCAACTGTGGCACAAAAGGTCGTAAAAGGGGGCAACATTCACTTAACCAGTGTTTCACTTATCAACAAAAATTTGGGGGTCAATTGTGGTCCTAAGTCAAGGACTGCCTGTATTTGTAACTCAGGGTTGAAATGAGGATTCCTTGATGCTCTCTGCATTTGGGTTCCTTGCAGATGTTTCATTACCAGACTAGGTAATATCATCAGTGCTAGAAGGATGTGGGGTTTGGTTTCTCTTTATATAAAGTAAGGAAAAAGAGATATTCGGGTTCTTATTTGGGAGATATTAAGTACGTCTGGTGGTATTCAAAATGTGAACTCATAGAAAGCAGCCTACCAAGGAATCCTAGAAAATATTAGCCTGATAATACCATTGATATATATCACCGAAGCATTCTAGCGTTTGGTCCCAATGATTCCTGCTTCATCCACCAGCATCAGAAAAGAGAACATAAAAAAAGAGAAACAAAGACTGTCAACAGAATGAACCCCTTCTGAATTAGATCAAATGCTGGATTTCGTTCCCTGGATGACTTGGAAAGCTGCTTTTGAACTTTCCAGCTGCAGCTAGCTATGCTGTGGTTACCATAAGTAAAATATGGCTATGTTAATCAGCCTCTAATCAGTAGTAGTATCGTTGGGTTATATTCCAATCTGTCAGTGTTGGTGGGAGTGTGGGGTTTTTTTTTAATACTCTTATTTCCCCGAAAATAAGCCCAATTGGGCTTTTGAGTGCATGTGCTAAAATAAGCCCCCCTCCCGAAAATAAGCCCTCCCTGAAAATATTTAAATGCACGTGCAGCCGATCCCCACCATTTCCTCTGGTTAGGGTTAGGGAGCCAGAGCTGGAAATCAGGTAAGACGGCAAGAGGAGCCCCATCTTGCTCCATGTGCTCCAAAATAATAAGACCTCCCCGAAAATAAGGCCAAGCGCTTATTTCGGGGTTCAAAAAAATATAAGACAGGGTCTTATTTTCGGGAAAACACGGTAGTTCCTTGATAGGCTATTTACTATTTAATTGCTTCTCTGAGTTGGCAGTTCCTTGACTGGGGTGCTGTTTACTGCTTGAAGTAAACTTGATTACCCCGAACAATACTGCTTCAAACTGATTGCTATTAAGCAATCTATATCATAGAAATCTATTAAGATGATTATGAGATCTTCATGAGAACTCTTCGTCTTTTCTAGATACAGGTAATCATTGGCTTACAAGCACAACTGAGCCCCAAATTTCTGTTCTTAAGCAAGGCCTTTGTTTTTTTTTTTTTTGCAACGGTTGTTAAGCAAATCACTACATTGTTAATGAATCACGCAGTTAACCAAATTTGGTTTTCCCCCATTGACTTTGCTTGTCGGAAGCCAGCTGGGAAAGTTGCCAATGGCGATCACGTGACCCTTGGATGCCGCCACCATCATAAACACATGCCGGTTGGGAAGAACCCAAAGTTTGATCACATGACCATGAGGATGCTGCATTGGTCATAAGTGTGAGAACTGATCCTAAGTCACTTTTTCTGTGCTGTTGTACCTTTGAACGGTCATTAAAAGAAACGGTTATAAGATGAGGACTATATGCACGGGCCAATATGGCTCTGAACTGTGTTATAGTACAGTTGAGAATCAAGAGGAAAAAAAGTGTTTACCTAATGTTTTTGTGATAATGTATGTATATAAATATATTTTTTTCAACGGCAGATATACTCCAGTGGGCCGATCTTTTTTTACTGCATCCGAAGGATGTTCGAATCCTCTGGGAGGTGGCAGAGAAGTCTGGTTTGGATTCCATCAGTCAGTCAGGCCTTCCCTGTGGAAAATGATGCTGAACATTGATGGTAGGTTTCAGGTTGTTTCTTTTATCAGCATTTGGGTGATCTTGTTTTAGTAGCCTGGAAGGGCACAGCTGAATTAGGCCTGAAGGATATCCGAGAGTCAAGAAAAAGCCACTTTGGTATTATTGATTTTCCATGTTTTCCCTTTTATTTTTAGTCTCTGCAACAGCATTTTATAAGGCCCAGCCAGTGATTGAATTTGTATGTGAAGTTCTTGATTTCAAAAGTATTGAAGAACAACAGAAACCTCTGACAGATTCCCAAAGGGTTAAGTTTACCAAAGAAATTAAAGGTAAGACAGGAAAAAATAAAGAGTTTGAACTGAGACTACAAACCTTTTTTCTCTTGGGTGTTGACTGCACAATTTGTCAAATGTGGCCTGATCCCATTTTTAAAAAAGATCTTCTAATAAGCATTTTACCTATTACACCTCTTAACTCTGCAGAAAGGGTTTTTTTTAGGATGCTTTATTTCCGTGAGTGGGCTTCCAGGTTTTCTGAAAAACTGCACACAACAGATTGACTTCAAAGTTCAATGTTACATTAGGGGTTAAATGTTGAAAGGACTGACCGTTGAGTTGTGGCGTTCTATAAAATGGCTGCCCAGAGGCGGTCCTTGACTTACAACCACAATTGAGGCCAGAATTTCTGTTGTTCAGCGAGATGCTAGTTAAGTGAATTGCACCCAATTTTACGACCTGTTTTGTCAGGGTTGTTCAGAAAATTACAGCGGAGTTGTTAAGTGAATCACATTGTCATTAAGTGAAACCAGTTTCCCTCCCCCTCCCGACTTTGCTTGTTGGAAGTTGGCTAGGTCGCGAATGGCAATCCCCACGACCTGGGTAAAAGTTTGATCAGGTGACCGTGTGGATGTTGCAATGGTTGTAAATGTGAACGCCTGGTTATAAGTGTTGTGGCCCACCAGTGGAGCTGGTGGCAGACTCAAACAGTAAGGAGGTTGGGGAGGAGCATGGGCCAGTCCTGGAGTCTGGGGAAGTATTGTGGCCTGCCAGCAGCCTGCGCGGATCGTGGCTGGTCCTGATGATGAGGAGGCTGGTGTGGGGTTGCGCCAGCAGCCTGCGCAGCTGGCGCTCGCGTCGGACAGCGAGGAGGCTGAAGAGGATGTGGTGCCAGAGGCAGAGACTCAGCCAGGGCCTTCAGAACCTCCAGAGGCTCCTTCAAGTGGAGAGAGCGTAGTGGAGGAGCCTCTCCTCAATGCTCGAGCAAGCAGGGCTACCAAAAGGCAGGAGTGGCTACTCAGGAGGAGGAGGTCTCCTCGAGAATAAGGTTTGAGGATAATTGGCCACTCCCTTAGCCTATTTAAGTCGCACGCAGTTAGTAATTTCTTGCTGGAAACAACGTGTAATTATTACAGAGCATTTTGGAGAGAGAGTGTCTTATCGTATCTTGTTTTCTGGGCTGGTTGCCAACCTTTGCCGGACTTTGTTTATTCTTGGTACGTTATAACTTTGATAAGGACCGTTGGTGTGTGTCACAATTCCTTGGGAGTCCGGAGCTGGGGCAGAACAGGAAGGCTCTGATGAGTACTCTGCGTTGGAGGCAGAGATGGGGCCAGGGCTGTCCGACAGTTATCAGCTACCTTCGGAATCGGAGATAAGTGGGGCAGAAGAACAGCTGGAGCCTGTTCCCGATGTGTGCATGTGCACAGCTGTCAGGAGAAGGGAACAATTAAGGAACAGGGGTCGACTCGGGAGTAAAGGCACAAGGGGACACTGAATGGCCCCTCCCATAGGGAATAAATAGGAGCAAAAGGGGAATGGTGTTTGCAGGAGACAATTAGTTCGTTTATTAGTGTGAAGACTTGCTTATCTGAGTTGGTGCCTCACAGAGACTCCTTGCAGGTATTTCCTTGTTCAGCGTTGAGTTTGGAAGCTCTCAGCCTGGCAACTATCCAAGGACTGATAAGGTCTGTTGTTGCAATTCACCCTTGAAAGACTGTTTGCCGGGACTTTTCTGTATGTGAATGCTAGCCAAATAATTTGGCATTAGCCAAATAAAAAGGGGTTTTGTCGGGACAAGGAGTCTGTTTCGTGATTTTGGGAAGCCTAGGTCAGAACAATAAGTCCCCCTCCTTTTTTTTCAAGGCCATTGTAACTTTGAACAGTTGTTAAATGAATGGTTGTAAGTTGAGGACTACCTGTACTGTTATCCCAAAGGTGTTTCTTCAGGAGAAAACTGGACTTTCTTGAAAAAGTCCAGTTGCCTCCTGAAAAAGCACCTTTGGGATAACCATGACTTGGATGACTGAGAATCGCTACAGACTTTTACCTGTCCTGTTGTGACTTCTCACAATCTGGGCAGAGGGAGAATAACGGTTCAATTGCTGTGTTTCCAGGTCTTAAGGTGGAAATCACTCACTGTGGACAAATGAAAAGAAAATACCGAGTATGCAACGTTACGAGAAGACCAGCAAGTCACCAAACGTAATATTGACATTTTGTTTTGTCTTTTGCGGTTATCTAAAAATAACCATTACAGATATTGTGCTTCATATTCACTGCCTGGGATCTTACATCTCCTCAACAGAGCAAAAAAATAATAGTAATGCACATATATCATATCGGTTTATTCCATGTCTCAGTTTCAAAAATTCTAATCCAAGGGAATAAGTTTTTTTTATAGGGAAACGGGGTCCTGTTTTTGAAGATTTTATTTTGACCCATTGGGACTTGTTCATTTGATTGAAATGCTTGGTAAACTCTGTTTTTAGAAGGTGAATATACAGAATAACAGAGTTGGAAGGGACCTTGGGGGTCTTCTAGTCCAACCCTCTGCTCAGGCAGGAAACCCTATCCCATTTCAGACAAATGGTTATCCAATCTCTCTTTAAAAACTTCCAGTGTTGGAGCATTCACAACTCCTGCAGGCAAGTTGTTCCACTGGTTAATTGTTCTCACTGTCAGGAAATTTCTCCTTAGTTCTAGGTTGCTTCTCTCCTTGACTATTTTCCACCCATTGCTTCTTGTCCTGCCCTCAGGTGCTTTTGGAGAATAGATTTAGGCTCCCTCTTCTTTGTGGCAGCCCCTTAAATATTGGAAGATTGCTATCATGTCACTCCTAGTTTGAAACTGAGATGCATTTTGAGTAGACTGAACACATTAATCCTGATTGTGGTTTCCAAGATTAGCTGTTACATGAAATGTGGCCGCTGAATCATGAATAAGAATTGAAAAAAATGTGTATATCCAGAATAGGTCGTTATAAATTATTTAGCAATATGCTTTCGAAAGTTTGCTGGATTCTAACTGGGAACTACAGTCAGTTCAGTGGTGGGTTCCTCCCGGTTCGGCCCAGTTCGGCTGAGCCAGTAGCGGTGACGATATGACATCACCAAACCGGTTCTCTTTGTTCGGGAGCTGCCCGCCCCAGCATTATTCTTACCTTTTATTTGGCCCCACCCCAATCTATTCACTACCTCCCGAGTCCCAGCTGATTGGCTAGAAGGAAAAAACCTGTTTAAACTCTTGCGGGGGGGCTTCAAAGGGCCACCCTACAGCTGATCAGTGTTAAAAGGCAGTGTGGTGGTAAACCAGTGCACTAGAAAAACAAATGGGTAGACCGGGGCCTCCAAAAACAAATGGGTAGACCAGAATGTTCCAAGAACAAATGGGTAGACAGGTACAGCTCTGCAAGCAGTTAAAAGCCTGGTAGACCAGTACCTCTGCTAAATCCTAAAGAATTGTCACATGACCATCAAACTACGCCCACAAAATAACTCACGCTCACAGAACCGGTAGTAAAAAATTTTAGAACCCACCTCTGAGTCAGTTAGCATTGAATTGGCTTTTTCAAGGCAGAGAAGGACAACCTGTAAACCAGGGGTCCCCAACCCCTGGTCTGTGGACCGGTACTGGTCTGTGGCCTGTTAGGAATTGGGCTGCACAGCTGGAGGTGAGCAGCTGACGAGTGAAACTGATGTATGAGATTTAGATTGCACACTCCTGTCTCTCCTCTCCCCCCCCCCCCGGTCTATGGAACAATTGTCTTCCATGAAACTGGTCATTCCCTGGTGCCAAAATGGTTGGGGACCACTGCTCTAAACCGATACTACAGAATAGAATAGAATAGAATAGAATAGAATAGAATAGAATAGAATAGAATAGAATAGAATTCAATTCTTTATTGGCCAGGTGTGATTGGACACAAGGTGCATATGCTCACAGTGTACATAAAAAGACAAGATACATTGGTCAAGAATCATAAGGTACAACACTTCAAAATAGTCATAGAGTACAAATAAGCAATCAAATCATATGAGGTGACTTGTAGAAATACTAAATTGTGGTTTCCCCCCCACCCCTCCCCTTCAACTGTTATTCTGCAGATTTCCTCTTCAGCAGGAGAGTGGCCAGACTGTTGAATGCACTGTAGCTCAATATTTTAAGGACAGGCACAAATTGGTATTACGCTATCCTCACCTTCCATGTTTACAAGTTGGACAGGAGCAGAAACATACGTACCTTCCCTTAGAGGTAACCTTATTCCTATTGGGGCAATTCCCCCACCCCTTGTCTATTTTTCCTAATTTTGATTGTAAGACATGGCTTTTGTCATGATTTGGCATGATATTTCACTATCAGGCTGCCATATTTTTCTGTCTTAAAGGGGAATAACAGAGACCTAGAAATGTTTATAAAACATGGTCTTTCCCAAGATGGACAGTTATATATGTGTATATGTGTGTGTATGTATATGTATGGGTGTAGGTATATATGTACACTTTTGAGAGCAGGCAACAGAATTTCATTTTTAATGTGTGCCAGTGTGCCCATAGTAAAAAAATGACAATAAAGGTCATCCATCCATCCATCGTCACCTTTTGTTTCTGAAGTTGTTTAACAAAAATGAAACAAAATCAGAAGATGTGACTGTCAATCACTGGTCTTGTATGTGTGTGTTTGTGTGTTAAAAAGGGCATAATTTGGATAGTAAGAGAAAAATTGTTTTTGTGACGCCTCAGAGAAATACACAATCGACATATGGCTAGCCCTGATGTAGTTACATAGTATTTTCCTTTCAATGAGATTGCAGGTAGTCTTTGACTGATGACTGGTCACTTAGCAACCATTCGAAGTTACGACAGTTTTAAAAAAAAAAGGTGTTTAAGACCAGGAGTCAATGTTTTGATGTCACTGCCCCCCCTTCCTGTGGTCATGTGGCCACAGTTTATAACTTTTTTTTTTTTGCTGGAAACGGGCATTATTTCCCGTTCCCAGCTAAAAGCACATGTTGGGGACAATGGATTCGAAGACTACCTGTATAGGGGCAGCCCAAGAAGCAGCATGCTATATATAATTTTTTCCACATACTTTGACAGTAACCTTTTGGCTGTGTTGTTTTAGGTATGCAATATAGTTGCAGGACAGAGATGTATTAAGAAGCTGACAGACAATCAAACTTCTACTATGATTAGAGCCACGGCGAGATCAGCCCCAGATCGTCAGGAAGAGATCAGCAAATTGGTGAGCATCAACCTTATAAGGTAGACCAGACTTGGAAACAGATACCAAGCTTAAAAGCAGTAACTGGGAGAGGGATCTTGGAGTCTTAGTGGACAAACAGTTAAATATGAGCTAGCAGTGTGCAGTGGCAGCCAAAAAAGCCAACACAATCCTAAAATGCATTAGCAGAGGGATCCAATCAAGATCAAGGGAGGTACTAATACCACTCTATAAAGTCTTAGTAGGACCACACCTAGAGTACCGCATCCAGTTTTGGTCACCACACTATGAAAAAGATGTTGAGACTCTAGAAAGAGTGCAGAGAAGAGCAATCAGGATGATTAGGGAACTGGAGGCTGAAACATACGATGAACGGTTACAGGAACTGGGCATGGCTAGTCTAGTGAAGAGAAGGACCAGGGGAGACATGATAGCCGTGTTCCAATACTTGAGGGGCTGCCACAGAGAGGAGGGGGCGTCAAGCTATTTTCCAAAGCCCCTGAAGGCCAGGCAAGGAATAATGGATGGAAACTGATCAAGGAGAGATTCAACCTGGAAATAAGGAGAAATTTTCTGACAGAACAATTAACCCATGGAACAGAATTTGCCTTCAGAAGTTGTGGAAGCTTCATTGCTGGAGGCTTTCAAGAAGAGACTGGATTGCCACCTGTCCGAAATGTGTAGGGTCTCCTGCTTGGGCAGGGGGTTGGACTAGATGACCTACAACAAGGCCCCTTCCAACTCTGTTAATCTGTATTTAACCCTTTTTCTTCCAGGTTTATGGATTATTACAATGAACTATAAGCTACTTTTATCAGAAGAGCTATAGGAACAGAGCTGGTCTGAATGTTCTTCCCTTCTTTCCTCTTTCCTTCTCAGGAGGATTAAGGGGTAGGGATCTATCTGAGATGTTTTTGTAAACGACTTTCTTGGCCTGGGTTCAAATCTTGTTTATCTGCTCGTTGCCTTGGTAGTGGAGCTTCCCTCTGTCCCTCAAGGGTATTCTCTGTACTCCCTGCAGTGGCTCCCTTCTGTCCCTTATTGGAACATTAGGAAGGAGACTGATTGGCACAGGTGTATGCTCTGTGTCTGTAGGAACGTCAGAAAATGTCTTCCCATAGTTTCATTCCCAGTGGTCAGTTTTTTAAAGAAAACATTTCAGCCAGGAGCAAGAGAGAAAATCATGGTATTTGGGGGCTGAAGATTAGAGAGAAAAAATAGAGAGAAACCAAGACAGTGTTGTTGCAGGCATAGAACACAGAATAACAGAGTTGGCGGGGACCTCCTTGGAGCTCTTCTAGTCCAACCCCCTGCTCGACGGGAGACCCTATTCCATTTCAGACAAATAGCTGTCTAATCTCTCCTTAAAAATTTACAGTCCTGAACCTCCTACAACTTCTGAAGTCAAGCTGTTCCACTGGTTAATTGTTTTTCCTTAGTTCTAGATTGCTTCTCCTTGATTACTTTCCATCTGTTGCTTCTTGTCTTGCCTTCAGTTGCTTTGGAAAATAGGTTGACCCTCCCTATATGTAGGAGCCCCTCAAATATTGGAAGACTGCTATCATGTCTCCCCAGTCCTTGTTTTCATTAGACCTAGATGTACCCAATTCCTGCAACATGTTAACATGTATTTTAACACGCTTTTATTCGGATATTTTATTGTTGTGAGCCTCCCTGAGTCTTACGGAGATAGGGCAGCATATAAATAAAATAAAATAAAATAAAATAAAATAAAATAAAATAAAATAAAATAAAATAAAATAAAATAATAAAATAAAATAAAATAAAATAAAATAAATAAAATAAAATAAAATAAAATAAAATAAAATAAAATAAAATAAAATAAAATAAAATAAAATAAAATAATAAAATAAAATAAAATAAAATAAAATAAAATAAAATAAAATAAATAAAATAAATAAAATAAAATAAAATAAATAAAAAATAATAAAATAAAATAAAATAAAATAAAATAAAATAAAATAATAAAAAAATAAAATAAAATAAAATAAAATAAAATAAAATAAAATAAAATAAAATAAAATAAAATAAAATAAAATAAAATAAAATAAAATAAAATAAAATAATAAAATAAAATAAAATAAAATAATAAAATAAAATAATAAAATAAAATAAAATAAAATAAAAAAATAAAATAAAATAAAATAAAATAAATAAAATAAATAAAATAAAATAAAATAAAATAAAATAATAAAATAAAATAAAATAAAATAAAATAAAAGAATAAAATAAAATAAAATAAAATAAAATAAAATAATAAAATAAAATAATAAAATAAAATAAAATAAAATAAAATAAAAAAACCATTTCATATGTTTTAGCCTCCAGCCCCCCCCCCCCCCGCAACATTCTTGTTGCTCTTCTCTGCACTCTTTCCAGAGTCTCAACATCTTTTTTATATTGTGACGAGCAGAGCTGGATGCAGACTGTACAGGTTTAAAAAACTTAAAAGAATTCAGAATTGATTTTCCATTGCAACTAAAACAACCCTAAATCAATTTATTTTAGATATGTGTTTGTATGAAATATTTTCCCCCCCTCCTAGATGCGAAGTGCAAGTTTTAATACCGACCCTTTCGTTCGTGAGTTTGGCATCATGGTGAAAGATGAAATGACGGATGTCACTGGGAGAGTGTTACAGCCACCTTCAATTCTCTACGGAGGCCGGGTACGTGTGTCATCAGGACTTCAAGTTCTCATTTGGCCTGTTGGTCATGGCCCAGAATAAGAGTTGAGATGACAGTTTCCTGTGATTTCAGATGGGCCATGTAGTGTCGAGGTCGTTGGCTTGCAGATGTTCTGGGGTTAAATGCTTTGGGGTAAAAGTGTGCAGTTCCCACAGCCAGGAATTACCTCCCAGTGGAGAAGCCCTTAATAAGGGGAACCTGTCTGTCTCCTGGGAATGTCCTGAGGGGACCGGAACAACTGAAATGAACATGCAAGCATGTTGGGTGTTGGGAGAAGGCATCAAGACACGCAGCTGTGCACTTGAGACGCTTGTTCTAACTTTCCACCATGCACTTTTTGCACTAAGGTGTGGTTTGTTCTTTGGTCTGCAATCTGTTGCACAGGTAGTCCTTGACTTATGGCCACAATTGAGCCCCCAAATTTCCATTGCTAAGTGAAATAGTTGTTAACTGAGTTCCGCCCTCTTTTCTTGCCACAGTTGTTAAGTGAACCACTGCAGTTTTTAAAAGTTAGGAACGTGATTGTTAAGTGACTCCAACTTCCCCATTGACTTTGCTTGTCAGAAGGTCACAAAAAGGGATCACGTGACCCCCCCCCAGGGGACACTGCCACTGTCGTAAATATGAGTCAGTTGTCAAGCATCTGAATGTAAATCATGTGACCCTGGGCATGTTGCAAAGGTCATAAGTGTGAAAAACAATCCTAGGTGCCGTTGTAACTTTGAACGGTCACTAAATGAACGGTGGTAAGTCGAAGACCACCTGTCTGACCAAGGAGAGCTTTCATACCATGAGCCGTGGATGTGGGCTGGTCTATGAACACTCCGGTGTCGGTGCCTTTGTTTTTCCCCTTAGCATCCAGGGGTTTGACATCAAAAGACAGATGTGTTTTTGAAATTGCTATGCTGTAGAGCTTTGTTTTGGGGTTATTTTTGGGAGGGGGGGCTCTGGGAAATCATTCAACTTTATTTTTCCCCCTCTCTTTTTAGAACAAAGCAATTGCTACCCCAGTGCAGGGGGTCTGGGATATGAGGAACAAACAGTTTCATACTGGAATTGAAATCAAGGTCTGGGCCATTGCGTGTTTCGCTCCCCAACGCCAGTGCACTGAAGTCCATCTTAAGTGAGTCTAGTTGAGCAGCGTCTCGCTCACGTCTTCTTCCAGTTTTCCCAGGCTAAGCTCTTGTTCTGTTGTGGTCACCCGGTGTTTTCTCTGCATCCCTTTGCAATAACGACAGTATTTAGAATAGAATAACAGAGTTGGAAGGGACCTTGGAGGTCTTCTAGTCCAACCCCCTGCTTAGTCAGGAAACCCTACACCACTTCAGACAAAGGGTTGTCCAATCTCTTCTTAAAGATTTCCAGTGTTGGAGCATTCCCAACTTCTGGAGGCAAGTTGTTCCCCTGGTTCCGTGATGGCGAACCTATGGCACGCGTGCCACAGGTGGCACGTGGAGCCATATTAGTGGGCACGCCAGCTTAGCTCTGGGGCGCATGCGCATGCCAGCCAGTTGATTTTCGGGCCTTCAGGGCCCACCAGAAGTAAGGAAACCGGCTGTTCCCTGCCTCTGGAGGGCCTGGGGAGGGTGGGGAAGGCCCGTTTTTCTTTCTTACCCAGCTCCAGATCCTCTCTATTTATCTGGGAAGGGCGAAAACAGCCTTTCCCATCCCCTTGGAGGCCCTATGGAGGCTGAAAGGGCCCATTTCCCGACTCCCGGTGGGACAGGAAGTGACGTTTTTTCCTGTCCCCAGCCTCCAGAGACTCCTAGAGAGGCTCCTACAGACTCCTAGAGAGGTTCTGGAGGCTGGGGACAGCAAAAAATGTCACTTCCTGTCCCAGCGAGAGTTGGGAAATGGGCCCTTTCAGCCTCGTAGGGCCTCCAAGGGAGTGGGAAAGGCTGTTTTCGCCCTTCCTAGATACACAGAGAGGATCTGGAACCAGGTAAGAAAGAAAAATGGGCCTACCAGGCCATCATGTGCCAGGAGCGGGAGGGGGTAGGGGGTTGCGCACGCATGCGCGTGGGCACATGCGTGTGCGATCCTCCCCCTCCCCCTCCTGGCACGCGATGGCAAAAAGGTTAGCCATCACTGCTCTGGTTAATTGTTCTAACTGTCAGGAAATTTCTCCTTAGTTCTAAGTTGCTTCTTTCCTTGATTAGTTTCCACCCATTGCTTCTTGTCCTGCCCTCAGGTGCTTTTGGAGAATTTGTCCCAAAAGTGCTTTTTTTTTTTTCAAGAGGCAACTGGACTTTCTGGTTTTCTTTGAAGAAATTTCGCTTCTCATCCAAGAAGCTTCTTCAGCTCTGAATCCCAAAGTGCATAGCTAAATGTCTACGGAGATTCTCGGTCATCCAGGACATGGTTGTCCCAAAGGTGCTTTTTTCCAAGAGGCAACTGAACTTTCTTTGTTTTTCTTTGAAGACGTTTCGCTTCTCATCCAAGAAGCTTCTTCAACTCTTTGGGTTAAGCACCTTTAGGACAACCATGACCTGGATGACCGAGAATCTCCATAGACAACCACAGTATTTATTTTTAAATTACAGGTAATCCTTGATTTCTGATTGGAATTATGGTTGTAATTGTATTGGCTGTTAAGCAGGTCATCACCGACCTGATTTTATGACCTGTCTTGTAAGTAGTAGTTAAACGAATGCAGCGGTCATAAAATGAATGCTGTCATTGTTAAGTGAACACATAATTTGCAATGGGCATTTTTTTTCCGGGAAACAGGAAGTGATCACTAGTTTCCGGAAGAAACATAAATTGCAATCATATGACCACAGGACACTACAAACGGCCATAAATACTGGCTGATTGCCAAGCTTCCCATTCATGTGACCACATGGAGGGGGTTCCGGTCATTGGAACTTCAAGTCTGGGTCATAAGCACCATTTTTGGGGGTCTGTCAAATTTATTAGTAATCTTTAACAAATACTTATAAATTACTGCAGGATTAGTTTTGGGATAGTGATTATACTCTGGGCGAATTACGTCATGAGTGTGGCATTAGAATTTTAGATATGGTTTTATGTATTTAGTTTAATGCGCTACATTTTTGTTCTGTGATGTTGAATTTTCTCCGTTGTTCTGATCGTTGATTGAAGAAATAATTTTTCCTTTTAAAGTCTTAAGTAGGCAGCCTCCTTTCAGACTTGCAAAGTTTGAAGGGGCTGTTTCAAGTTTCCTGGCCTAATGTAATTTTGGAAGGAAAGGATTAAAGAGATAATGTTATAGTTATGGATGCAGCCGGTTTTGCTCTCGCGTAGAAGGGTTGGCATAAATGGTTTCTGGAGTCGGAAATCCACAATCGTAGAGTGTAGAATGTGATGTCTTGTTACATGGCTACGTAAAACTTTGGTTCCTGCCCTTAAAATGTGGTGTTGCTTCTTTTAACGTATCAGAACCTTCACGGAACAACTGAGGAAAATATCCAGAGATGCAGGAATGCCCATCCAAGGTCAACCATGCTTCTGTAAATATGCCCAGGGAGCAGACAGCGTGGAACCCATGTTCCGTCACCTGAAGAACACCTATTCTGGTCTGCAGCTTGTGGTTGTCATTCTACCCGGGAAAACTCCTGTTTATGGTCAGTCTAAGAGACCTGCATGCCTCTGTCACCTTTCGCATTACTGTAAATCAGTGTTTCTCAACTTTGACCACTGGAAGATGGGTGGACTTCAACTCCTAGAATTCTGGGAATGGAAGTCCACACTTCTTCTAGTAGCCAAGCTTGAAAAAAATCTGCTGTGAATATGTAATTTTTCACTGTGATCCTCAACACACTTTCTTGAGATGGTTCCCTTTGTTTGCTGCCTCTCTATTTCAGTTATGAATTACTTTTCTACATTAACCTTGGAAATGTCTGATCTTGAACTCTCATCAACTGTAATGCAATGCAAGTTTGATAGCTTAGTGTGATATTTTCTTCTAAAATGTCACAAGAAGAAAAATGTATACATGTAGTATCGAAACGTATCTTCCTGAACAGCCTTTTCCTCAAAAACAGAAGGCTGCATGTGAAAATGCCAGAATTCTATCTATTTTAGAAGATAGTTGGATTGTAGAGAAATGATTGAAGGGTGGCCTTATGATCTATATCTTGATCAGCAGCTGTTATATCATAAATTCTTAGTGGTGGAAGATTAAATTTTACCCTTCATTTTGAACATATCTGCCTCCAATCGAGAGCAGACAAAGAGGTATTTTTTTAAAGTTATATAGAAAAGCATTTATTGTATTACAGATATACTGTGCTTCAATTAACTTTCAAAGTAATTTTAAAGTTACTTTGAAAGTTAACTGAAGTATAGTATATCTGCAATTTAAATTTGTATTTAAAAATACAAAAGAGATAGATCAAGACATATAAACAAAATACAAATTATAAGATTTATAAAATGGCAAGACCCAAAGTCTTAAAGCTGCCTTAGAAATGTCAATCAAATGAAGATAATAATTATTTTTTTACATTGATTGTATTTGTTTTATATGGCTTTCCATCTCAAGCAAATAACTCTGAGTGAGTGGCTAATTAAGAACACGTCTTGTTGAAACAGAAGGTTTTTGTGGGGGTGGACTTGGCAAAAAATATCCCAATCAAGGAACTACCAACTCAGGCAGACAAGCTAAAAGTAAACAACAGCCCAATAAAGGGACCACCAAGTCCACTTCTACCAACACCGACCCTGCAAGCCACTAGTAAATAAAAAGAGCAAGCCCTATTTGCTTTGTAGCACTGATGATGTAACCTAGTTTGGTAATGAAATGTCTGCAAGAAAACAACCATGCTCAGAGATTACCAACGACCCCTCATTTCATCCCCGAATATAGGAATATACAAATATACAATATAGAATATACAAATATTCTCTTCTATAGAAAGATAGGTGTTATATGGCCCATGGCCTCCTCCTTGATAGTCCCCTGCTTTATCTCACGGGCGTTATGAGAAGATGCTGTAACAAAGAGATTATAGTTGGGGTTAAGCAGTCTAAGTAGCTGCCAGCCATTAGCTTGATCTGTTTAACAACATCTCTTTTCATTTCTCTGACTCGGCAGCCGAAGTGAAGCGTGTCGGTGACACCGTGTTGGGAATGGCCACGCAGTGTGTGCAGATGAAAAATGTGCAGAGGACTACCCCCCAGACCCTTTCCAACCTATGCTTAAAGATCAATGTCAAACTAGGAGGAGTTAATAACATTTTATTGCCACAAGGAAGGTAAGGATTTTCAGGGTATGAGTAAGTACCCCACTGATCCCGTGCTGTTGAAGAAAGAAAGCAGCTGGTTCTTTCATTCTGTTGGCTGAACAGTTTGTCTGCTTGCCACATTTGCAGTTAATGTGCAATTAAAAAAAATCCAAACAAACAGTTCCGTTCAACATGGAATAATTTTACCTTGCAGCATTTAAAAAAAAAAAACTGCTTGGTTTTTGTGGTTAGATCTTAATTAATGCCTTATAAGAAGGCAGAATCCCAAACTTTTGAATTGTGTTTTGAAGGATCAAGTGAATGCCTCTTGTTTATATTGCACCAAGCAAACCTCCGGTTGTGACCAGTTTTGTGGCTGAAGGAGGAGGAAAGCAAAATAATTATAAATTTTATTCATGGCCAGGCTGTTGACTCTGAAAAAAAAGGATAACAACTCAAAACTTAAACTATTACATATTGTGTTGATATAACAATTTGAACAGGGAAGAGGGGAGAGAAAAATCTCCTTTTGGCCCTCACATTGTGTTACTTTACAGTTTAACCATGGTTTATTGACAGCACCATAATTTGACTTGTCAGCTAGGAACAACTACAGCATATAACTGTAGAAATACTTTTGGGCTGAATTGTGATTGTAAGTCAAGGACTACCTGTAATGGTGTAGAAATTAGAGGCATTACAGGACATCAACTCAGATTACAGGTTGTCCTCGATTTACGACCACAGTTGGGACTGGAACCTCTGTCTCTAAGCAAGGTGAGTTGCAACCAATTTTTCAACTTTTTTTGCTGCAATTGTTAAGTGAGTCACACAGTTGTTCAGCAAATCTGCCTTCCCACATTACTTCGTTTATTGGAAGCTAACTAGGAAAGTTGCAAATGATGTTTATGTGACCCCGGAACATTGCAACCATCGGACCATCGAATGCATGCCAGTTGCCAAGGGTCCAAATTTTTATCATGTGATTGCAGAGACGTTGAAACGGTTTTCTTTGTAACTTTGAATGGTTGCTAAATGAATGCTAGTTAAGTCAAGGACTACCTGTACTTCAAAGGAATTAGGCAAATTTCACTCAGCAAGACTGTCCCTAGCTACAGTGGTGATGGTTGTCCATAACAGATATACATACTTGAAATGCCAGCTGTTGAGAACCACAGGAAGGCTACCCATTTCTGCTGCTGTTTATAAGCTCTCTCGGTCCATGCGGTTGGCCATTTGAATTCTGGAATTTTTGGGTCCAGTCTGATCCTGCTGGGCTCTTCTGGGGTTCTTCTATTGAGAAGATACATTATCTGACCACCTTGCACAGAAGGGCTGAGCAGGAAATACCACGGCTGCTTCTAGGCCTTTGAAACTAAGGTCCACGGTAGAGAGACGGTGCCCAAGGCCCTTTGACTGTCATCAGATGGAAATAGGTGCTGGCAGAACGCAGTTGTATAACGGGTGCTCTATAGTTTTCTAGAGAACATGCAAAGGGAAGCTTTCCTCCTTGATCGCGTTGTGTAAATATTTGTTATGCTCTCTCTTATATTAGGCCTCCAGTATTTCAGCAGCCTGTTATTTTCCTTGGTGCAGACGTCACTCATCCACCAGCTGGAGATGGGAAAAAGCCATCTATTGCTGCTGTGAGTAAAAGAGGCATTTATCGCCTGCATTTTCTTTTCTTTTTTTAAACTTTTAATTGTTACTCAAAACATTAAAATACAAATTCCAGAAAGAAAAAGAAAAAAATTATGCAAAATCAAAAACTAGAACATTAAAAAAATGGGTATGAAAAAAATCCAGAAGACCAAAAACACATATATTAATCCCACCCACCCCTCGTTGAACATTGCTGGATATATTGCAACAATGTTAGTTTCACCTACATTTTCATTATTATATCCGTATTTGATCTGACCTCATTTTTCCTACTTGACCATTTTTCGTTCCCCCATCCCTTGTCCAAAATATTTCTGAAGAAGTCTTCTCTTAGAATTGCCTTAAAAAAAACACTTCTTAATTCTTTAGAATAGTCGTTTTCCTACTTTTATGGCAAGCCTATTTCATTGGCTTTATCTACAGTGGGTGTGCTTTTGAAAAATTCAGGTTTTTATGGATAATTTTTCTTTCTTCTCTATGTGTCTGCAATCACCCCTTCATTGTTGGCTTTATGGCTCTTGTTGTCAAGGGTCCAAGTAATAACTCCATAGAAAGCAGAACTCTGAGTCAAGCAAGTTCCTCAAAGAACAATTTTATTGGAGATATCATGTTGGCACAAACTGGTGAAAACGGACTCTGAAAGTTCCTGTGGTTTACACCTGATTAAAAAGTGAAAGTTCCCCCTTTCCCCAAACAATCAGTCACATTGTCCAATTGAGGTGCTGGCTGGCTGCTTGGTAACCAGACTCCTCCTCTCCCCAGCCAGCCACCTGTTGGAAAGTCCTTGGTTCTCACAGGAAACTATTTTGTTTTGGCTACAAAGTCCCATCTAAGTTTGTCCCCCCCCCCTTCCTACCCCTTCTTCGCGCTGTGGCAACCCTGAAGCCTCCAAAATGGCCCCAGTCATATTCGCTTCAGAGTTGACCCTTGTCTTGTGTCATCCTGTCCTAATGTGACAGATTCCAGGTGTGATGGAATTGCCACTTCCCAAACTCCCAAATAACAGGCTGGCTGGGAAATCTGTACTTATAAGCCACTTCACCTGTTGAACCGCTAAAGACTTTATTTCAGTTGCAGAGATGCTGCTGCTGGATACTGCTGTAACAGAAAATGGGGAACATTTCCTTAAAGTTGCTGTGTGTTAAATTCCGCAGTCTGTTTTTTTTAAAAAAATTTTTATAAGAAACGCCCTTGCTTTCTCCCCCAGGTTGTAGGCAGCATGGATGCCCATCCGAACCGCTACTGTGCCACTGTGAGGGTCCAGCAGCACCGCCAAGAAATAATTCAAGACTTGGCTGCCATGGTTAGGGAGCTGCTGATCCAGTTTTACAAATCAACTCGATTCAAGCCAACGCGGATCATTTTCTATCGAGACGGTGTTTCCGAGGGGCAGTTTCAACAGGTTCTGGTCTTGCTTTCTTTTTCTTGGACTTAGACTTAGAATAACTTTATTATCACTTTCAATGTACACTAATCGGCATACATTAAAATGAAATTTTGTTGCATACAGTTCTCAGAGGGTCACCACCTCCAATATACACTACATAAACATGACAAGATACTGTAAATAAATAAATACAAATTTATGTATATACCCACATATATTATATGACATAGAGAAACAATACAGTCTAGTTTGAATGTGTACATGGCTAGAAAAATCACGAGAATCTTGCGAGTTTATCAGACGGATGGCATAGGGAACTGTTATAGATATTTCGAAACCTCCTCCCAAAGGGCAGCAACAGAAACAGACCATAAAGTGGGTGTGTGGGCTCTCTAACAATGCTTTGAGCTCTAAGCACACAGCGCTTATAAGCAGCATCCTGAATAACAGGAAGCGAGTTTCCTATAATCTCTGCTGTCCTCACCACTCTCTGTATGGACTTTCTATCTGAGGTGCTGCTGCCACCAAACCAAACGGGGATACAGTTTGCTCTCGTGGCTCTGTAGAAAGTGGCCAGGACAGAAGGAGAAAGATGTGTGCTCCTCATCTGACTCAGGAAATGCAGACACTGGTTTGCATGCTTCACTAAGGGCAAGACTCACTTAACAAATGTTTCGCTTAGCCTCAGACATTTTGGCCTCCATTGTGGTCGTAAGGCGAGGACCACCTGTGATTCTTTAAAAACAAAAAACAAAGTTGGCTCCTTGTAAATGCAGGAGCATTTGTAGCTTGATTCTGACCCAGAGCCTGAATTCAGTGTTGTCTAAACCAGATCTTCACAATGAATGACTGCAGGGTTGTGATAATAAGATTCTGTTTTGCCCAACAGAGAAGCATGCCTGGACGCATACACATTTTTATTCTTGCAGTGGTTTTCTTATCCCAGATCTAGCCAGTTTAATCTCATTAAGTCAAGAATGTGGGGCTGGTCCTGGTGTTTTTGCATTGCTTCAGATCACCTGTTTTGCTGCAGGTGATGAAGAATATCTTCCTGAAGGAAGATCCAAATAAATAAAGAGGGTGGGAGGAGTTTTCTTATTCGTAAGGTTTCAAACTATCTCTTCCCTCTCCCTCTCTCCTGTTTCTCTTGATGCAGGTTCTTCATCATGAATTGCTGGCTATCCGAGAAGCCTGCATTAAACTAGAAAAAGATTACCAGCCAGGGATTACCTTCATTGTGGTGCAGAAGAGGCATCACACCAGGCTGTTTTGCACCGACAAAAATGAAAGAGTAGGTATTGCATATTGTTTTGGGAGAGAAGTTGGGAAGTGGTGAAATAAGAAACCTCTAGTTGCCAACATGCCCTACTACTGAGACCTCAAAATTGGCAAATGAAACAACTTTTTGAGTTAATTCTTTTTTTTTTTTTTTTGCATCAGCATGTCAATTCTTGCATCCTTTGGTTTTATTTCCACAGGTTGGGAAAAGTGGAAACATTCCAGCAGGTACCACTGTGGACACAAAAATCACCCACCCTTCGGAGTTTGACTTCTACCTGTGTAGTCATGCTGGTATTCAGGTATCTTCTGGATGCACCATCTCCTGGGTTGTCATCAGATCTCTGGGTCAGATCCTTCTCGGCTGCCTGTGCATATGGTTGAACGTGTTCCACTTCTCTAGCTTTTAGTGTAAATGACACTTTTTCCAGTCCCTTCTGTGCAGCATGAGAGACAGGGTTCCCTTGGACAAGAGAACAGGAAAGAATTTCCTCCCCACTCAACAAGTTTCCAGGAATTCCAGATAAAATAATAGAATAGAATGGAATGGAATGGAATGGAATGGAATAGAATTTTTTATTGGCCAAGTGTGATTGGACACACAAGGAATTTGTCTTTGGTACATATGCTCTCAGTGTACATAAAAAGACAAGATACATTAGTCAAGAATCATAAGTTAAAACACTTAATGATAGACGTAGGGTGCAAATAAGCAATCAGGAAACAATATCAATCATAAGTGGGAGGAGATGGGTTATAGGAACGGTGAGAAGACTAATAGTAATAGTAATTCAGCCTTAGTGAATAGTTTGACAGTGTTGAGGGACTTATTTGCTTAGCAGAATGAATGGCATTTGGGAAAAAACTGTCCTTGTGTCTAGTTGTTCTGGTGTGCACTGCTCAATAGCGCCATTTTGAGGGTAGGAGTTGAAACAATTTATGTCCAGGATGTGAGGGGTCTGTAGATATTTTCACAGCCCGCTTTTTGACTCGTGCAGTATACAGGTCCTCAATGGAAGGCAGGTTGGTAGTAATTGTTTTTTCTGCAGTTCTAATTATCCTCTGAAGTCTGTGTCTGTCTTGTTGGGTTGCAGAGACAAACTAGAAAGTTATAGATTAAGAATAAATTAAGAGACAGACAAGTAGAAAGTTTTACATTGCAAATACTTTGATCATACTATATATACATTCCGAAAGAGCACATCCCCTTTGCTCTAAAAGTCTGCTTGCAGTTCTGAATGTCTGTCTGTCTGTCTCTTTATCTGTCTCTGTTCTGTCTCTATCTTATCTATCTATCTATCTATCTATCTATCTATCTATCTATCTATCTATCTATCTATGATCTTGCCTTTATCATTTTCACAAACAGCTTGAAGCACTGAACATACCTTAATGCTCCTTCCTCCTCCTATTTCTCCCACAAGAACCCTGTGAGGTTGGCTGGGCTGAGAGAGAATGTTTGGCTCAAAGTCACCCATTCGGCTTTCATGCCTAAAGTGGGACTAGAACTCACCTTCTATTTTCTAACTTGGTTCCTTAACCCTTAGACCAAATACATTTCATATATAAATTTATATCGAAGTATAAATTTCAGTCCGAGCAAACAAGTTTTTATTGTCTTTGCAGTCGCTACCTTTCAGATCCTATGAATTTACCTTCCGCCTTCCATGTTGATGCTACCCCATGCTTCTCTTACCTTCTGATGTCAGTAATAAAGGAGGCATAAAGTTACATTGTGATTCTCATGTACAGCTGCTCTACACGTCATGATTTCACATATAGTAGTAGCACTTAGACTTACATACTGCTCCACGGTGCTTTACAGCCCTCTCTAAGCAGTTTAGAGAATCAGCATCTTGCCCCCAACAATCTGGGTCCTTATTTTACCCACCTGGGAAGGATGGAAGGCTGAGTCAACACAAGGCTATTTATAGATTGGATCTGTGGAGATTCTCAGTCATCCAGGTCATGGTTGTCCCAAAGGTGCTTTTTCAGGAGGCAACTGGACTTTCTTGTTTTTTTCTTTTGAAGACGTTTTGTTTCTCATCCAAGAAACTTCTTTAGCTCTGACTGGATGGTGGGGAATGGAAGGATTTATACTCCTTGCAGACAGCTGGTCATTTGCATCCTTTCTGAGGGTCGTTGAAGCACTTGGACAACCAGGAACTACTCAGGTGAACCTGAGGACACAGATAAACCTCCAAGTCCTTGCAGACAGCTGGTCATTTGCATCCTTTTAGGAGGTCGTTGAAGAACTTGGAGGTTATTTCTGGCCTCAAGATCACCTGAGTAGTGCTCCTGGTTCCTGTAGTCTGCAATCCCCCCCTCCCCCACCTTGTCAGAGTTGAAGAAGCTTCTTGGATGAGAAGCAAAACATCTTCAAACAGGGAAGCCTGGTTGCCTCCTGAAAAAAGCACCTTTGGGTATAGACTGGATCCTTTGATTTTTCTGTGGCCTTAATTAAGAGCCATAGAAAAGAAACCACGTTCACAGCGTTCGTGGGTTACTTTGTCTTTCAAAATAGAAATGCTGCTCCTGGCCAATTTTTGGAAATCCAGAGTGGACCTCTTGCCAAAAGAAGGTTGGACGGCGGAGGGATGGAGACCTTTCCTTATCCTTGTTTGTGCTCCATTTCCAGGGCACAAGCAGACCGTCTCATTACCATGTTCTCTGGGATGACAATCGCTTCTCTTCAGACGAACTCCAGATCCTCACTTACCAACTGTGTCATACCTACGTCCGGTGTACTCGATCTGTTTCTATCCCTGCGCCAGCCTACTATGCACACCTGGTGGCCTTCAGAGCCAGGTATCATTTGGTGGATAAAGAGCATGACAGGTAAATAATATAGCTGGGATTGAGGGATACGGGCATAATTTACTCAGATGAATGCTTACAGTCATTCTTTTAGTGAACGTTTGATGTTTCAGCGACACGGAAAAAAGAGACTTATGGCCAGTTTTTCACCCTTACGACCATTGCAGCATCCCTGTGATCACGTGATCAAAATTCAGGCAACCTTGGCAACCGGCTCATATTTATGACGGTCGCAGTGTCCCAGGGTCATGCTATCCCATTTTGCGACCTTCTGAGAAGCCAAGTCAATGGGAAGCCAGATTCACTTAATAACCATGTTACTAACTTAACGGCTGCAGTGATTCACTTAACAACTGTGGCAGGAAAGGCCACAAAATGGGGCAAAATTCACCTAAGAACTGTCTCGCTTAGGAGTGGAAATTTTGGGCTCAATTTTGGTCATATGTTGAGGACTATCTGTAGCCACCGAAAAGCAAGTCATAACTATGAGACTGAATGACTCATTCTGGGAAGAAGCAACTCAAATTCAGAGCTCCTTTTCTGTCCAGGCAGAGTACAAAAATAAAGAAAAGAGAACTGGTTGCCTCCAGAGTTTTTCTTTTTTTCTTTTTAATTTTTTAATGGGTTTTTATAGCTCTAAAATGTTTATTAATTTCTAATTGGGAGCCACCCAGAGTTAGTTGAAAGATAGGTGGCTATATACAGTAAATGCTTTAAATAGACTAACTTAAGATAAAATACAGGTAGTCCTCAACTTAACAACAGTTTACTTAGTGACTGTTCAAAGTTACATCGGCACAGAAAAAAGTGACTTATGACCATTTTTCACACTTACGACCGTTGCAATATCCCCATAGTCACATGAGCAAAATTGTAGTCGTAAGCCGAGGACTACCTGTAAAATCATAAAATAAAAATACGACGGCCTTTGCTGAGAAAGAGGGAGACCAATTTTTTGGTTTTCCCATATAAATCTGCATCAAATTGTATAATATTAACGACAGCCTAAAATGTTTAACATGTAACCATGCTCTAATCCCATACTTTTGAACACGTGGAGATGGATTTCAGTTTCGGTGTCTCAAAGGTGCTTTTTTTCAGGAGGCAATTGAACTTTCTGGTTTTTCGTTGAAGATACTTCTCTTCCAAGAAACTTCTTCAGCTCTCAATGAATGGTGGGGAGTGGAAGGATTTATACTCCTTGCAGACAGCTGGTCATTTGCATCCTTTTATAGAGTCGTTGAGGCCATCTGGAGGTTTATCTGTGTTGTCAACGGTCACCTGAGTTGTGCAAATGAGTGTGGAGCCTTCTTGGAACTGTTCCACGCCCATTGGCACTATTCAGGTGATCCTGAGGACACAGACAAACCTCCAGGTGACCTCAACGACTCTCTAAAAGGATGCAAATGACCAGCTGTCTGCAAGGAGTATAAATCTTCCATTCCCCACCATTCATTGAGAGCTGAAGAAGCTTCATGGAAGAGAAGCAAAGTATCTTCAAAGAAAAACCAGAAAGTCCAGTTGCCTCCTGAAAAAAAGCACCTTTGGGACAACCATGACCTGGATGACTGAGAATCTCCTTAGGCATTTCAGTCTCGGGTTTAAACCTATGTTGTTGTTTTCTCTCTCTCTCTCCCCCTCTTCCCCCCCCCAGCGCCGAAGGGAGCCACACTTCCGGGCAGAGCAACGGCCGCGATCACCAAGCTCTCGCGAAAGCTGTCCAGGTCCACCAAGATACTTTGCGCACCATGTACTTTGCTTGACATCTGGCCGTGTTGAGGAACTCAGTTCTGTGTTGGATTCACAAGAGACCAGCTGCACTTAGACCAACAGTTGCCCGAGCTACCGCGACAGCCAGCAAAGGAGTGATGCATCTTTATTTTTAAATATTTGAGGGGTGGGGAGGGGAGGAGGGGGCTGATGATGATGATGATGATTGTGATTCTATTTGCAAGAAAGCTTTTCATCCAGAATTTCAGACTTGAGCGTAGAAAAAAAAAATTGCACAGCTTTTAAGACATGTGGATATGCCAAAATCAAAAAGCTGCTTGTCGGGAGAAATGAAACAAACAAACAAACAAACAAAAATTGAAAACCCACGTTTTCTAATTAACTAGAGCTGTGATCTCAGGGCTAAAAACAACACTTCTCATTTTAGTTATGACTTTTTCAGATGCTCTTATTTGTAATAATCTGAAGAAATATCCAATTAAGATCCGATTGAACGGGCCTGGGAGGAAAAAAGAAATGAATTTGCTTTTATTTCTTTAAAAAAAAAAAAGCACTAGTTTGGATGCCAGTGAAGTCTTTGATCATTCTGGATGCATTTGTAAAGTGATTTTGTACCGAGATGCAAAAAGAGTGAGCGAATCCTTTGCTGTCTTATTGATAAGTCTGTGAAGGTCTATGGGCAAAAAAAAAAAAAAAATATGTATTTTTGACGTTAGTTCTTGAATGTCTTTCATTGTGCTGTTTAAAATTTTTTGTAGGATGAGTTACGGAATTATTTCAGTTACAAAAAAGAAGTTTTATCTATACTTTTTATTAGGTCCACTGAAAGATTAATGAAGTGTGCCACTTTTTTTAAAAAAAAAGTTTATTTTTTCTTAAAAAAAAAATAATAATAATCCATTTTGATTACTAATCATGGAGTTTGTCCTCTAGGACTGTGACACTTAATTTTCCAAAGCTTTTCTAAAGAATACGGGTCTGTGGTGATACAGTACAATCTCTTTCACTGTTATGTTTGAATTAATGTAAAATTTATATGTGTTTCACAGTATTAACATGATAGTATAGATGCTATTTATATTTATTTACTAAAGAGTGCTCAACATAGTTCTGTTTAACATATCACAAATTGAAGAATGCTTTGGAGTTTTAAAGTGGAGAGCTTTTACGTGGACGAGAGGGATTTGGGTCGAATTCACCAACCGTAGCTTTTTTGCAGGTTCCCTTGTTCATTTTAACGAGGTTTCTTTATTATATCTCCTTGAAGTGAACAAAGGAGAACTGGACCTGATGTGTTGTCCCTTTAAAAAAAAAAAAAATCCCAACAGGATTATGCAACTACCTTGTGTGGCAGATCAAAGATATACTTGGTGTTTATATCATTTTTTCCCCCTTGTATCTTGGAAGGATTTAGGAGAATTCACAGGCTGTAGTTTAGACATCAAAAGCAAGTTTTGTGGTTCTTTCAAGCACATAAATTATTCTTGTTGTTTTTTTCTGTTGGATCATCTGAGTCACAGAAATGGAAGGAAGGAGATCTGTATATTTGGCCGTTCGCTCTGAAGAAAGATAATCCCTCCAGAGGCCTGCTAGAAATACCAGTTTCTCTTATGTGCACAAGATTTATCAGACCAAATATTCAAAGCTACCATTGCACTGACGACAACAATAGGAACACTACTAAAATACTGTGGGTTAGGAAGCTTTTTTTGCTCTTCCAATCTGATGGGACTTTAAAAAAAAAATATCCTAATTTTCCCAGACGTGATTTAATTTTTTTTTTTTTTTTTAATCTTGAAACCTTTCTAAGATTCAGTTTTTATTTCCTTCTGAAGAGCAGCGCAGCCATCACTGGAAGATAAAGAGTTCCCTACCTCCATTGAGAAAAATGTAGAAAATATGATTAAGCTAAGCTTGGAATCTTAGGCTTTGCTCGGAACCGATGGATGTGTTGGCTGAGCGAGATAAAAGGCCACGAGAACATTTTTTAAGGCCCTAGTGCACATTTCATGCCAGTTAACGGCTGTAGCTCTGGAAAGCTGTGCCTCCCGTGGCCAACAGATGCACCTGAAAAACGGGCTTTCGGGGGCAGAGATTTTCAAGCGGTGTGCAGAATGTCTTAAAAAGTTTGTAAGCTGCAATTTCCAGCTGCTTAATAGGTTTAAGAGAAGAAAAAGAGATTTAAGGCACTACTTTTTCTTCTTCTTCTTCTATTTTTTTTTTGGGGGTCATCCTGTTTTGCTAAGCAAGATTGCAGCATCTCCTTTTTTTTGATAGTTTGGTAAATTTTATTTTCAAAGTTAAAATGTTGACTCCAAGAAAAAAAACAAAAAGGAAACAACAAACAAAGCAAAAATCTGTTTCACCTTTCCTCTCCCTCCTTCTCCTTTCCCTCCTCCTCCTTTCCCTCCTCCTCCTGGGAGTGGCATTTCTCTCTGCAGCTTTTCAGATACCATAAAAATCTGCTCCATGGAATTCAGGATCGAAGTGTAAAACAATGATCAGATTGGGAGATCAGAAAGGGAGAGAAATCATTTTCAAGTACATCATACCCTTTTTTCAAATTAAAATAAAACAGCACTCAAACCTGTAAGTGTTTTCATACACGTTTCTCCTTTTTGTTGTGCATTTTTCGTTATGTGCAACACTTCCGCAGTGTTTCTCTACTATCAGATATATTTGATGTTATCTCACTGATTTCCTTTTTCGTTTTTTTTTTTGGAAAACTGCCTATAAAACTGGGAAAGTGCATCTATTAAAGGATAATTATGAATATAGTTCATGGGTAATTAATTACGGGGAGTACAAATTAGCGTTTGAACCAAAATGTTTACTGTAAAATTTCTCTCCCTTTTTAATTCAAACAGCTACAGCAGATTATTGTGTTATGAGCTGCAGAGAGTCCCTCCTGTATAGAAAGAAGGCAGTACGCATAAACTAGGATTTCATTCTTGCTGTTAAAATTCTGTTTTAAATAGCTTTCTTTTCCAGGCAGCACTTAAATGAATTGTTGTGTTTATGTTTTTTTACTGTTTGTTTCCCCATAATCTTCAAAATGCATCAGCCAGAGAGAGCTGGGCTAAAATGGAATCTTTTTTTTTTTTTTTTTGTCTTCCTAACTACAGCCACCTAATCTGACAGCCGTCTTGTAGTGCCTGCCAGCTAGCAACAGGCTAAAATAACAATCCACTGGATTTAGGTGCTTCTGGCAGTGCTTTTGTTGTCTTGGTGGCTTTACCACCAAGTTCTGAAATAGATTTCTCAATGTGCAGATAGTTGTTGTTTATATATGCATCATTCAGGGCCAGAAGGAATAGGATGAGTTTTTGAAAGTGTCGGATTAATTTTTGCTCCGATAGAGAGGAGAAATGCATATCTCTTTCTCTTTTTAAACTTTCCATTACCATAATCCTTAAAAAAAAAGGCTTTTAATTGTTTCATATGGCAAGCGGGGAACGGAAGGGGTGTTACTATTATTATTTTTTGTTGAAAAACTGACAATGCACTTTGAAAACATAGGGCGCTCTGAATATGCACAGGAACTGGGTTTTCTTTTAATAATAATAATAATAATAATATATGCAGAAACCAAAATTCCAAATGGAAACAAAAAGGATTCGACTTTCTCAGTAGCTCTTTCTTGCAGTGATTCTTGGAACTACACACTGCTATCTCAGGTGAACGATTTCATTTTTTGCAGCGATATCCCAGATACTTTGCGTGAGAACCAAGGCCAATAGCTTTTGAAAGCGGGGGGTGGGTGGGTGGGTAGGAGGGGGAATATGAGGAACAGAAGTGCTTTTGAGTCTTATCACAGGAATCATTTTATAAGAAAACCAGTTCTAATACCGATTCGGCTTTATTTTGCAAACCCATCTTGTAAAGAACGAATGTTTTGAAAAATAACCTTTGATGCAATTTTTTTTTAAAACCAATTATGGCGGTGTTCAGTTGTAGCCAAACCGCTCAGACCGAATGGTGGGTCTGGTAGTTTGTGACCGTCTTCTTTCAGGATGAGTCTTTGCCGGGAGATTTTTGGGACCGTGCGCCACTTAGAAAGCCACCTACGCACAACCCAGGAACTGTGACTTCCGCGTAGGGGGGGGGAAGCGGTTGTTCACCTGGGTTTCAAGCCCACCTGCCGTCACTTGTGAATTTCCTACTTTCCCTAATATTAAATGCTTTCGTAGAATTGAAATGCAAAAAGAAAAAAAAAAAAGGAGGAGGAGGAGGGACCCCTGTCCTGCTGGAACGAAAAACGAGGCATAAAGTGGAGCCATTTTTATTTTTGAAAGCAAAATGTACCCTTGTTGGTCTCATGTGCCTTTTTTAAATGCCCGCTCATGAGGCAGAAAGCAGTTAAATTTTCTGGCATCTGGGATGGGGTGGGGGGGGGTTAGGAGGAGGCCGTCCTCTTTCGCTCAGAGCTGGGTTGATGAGATAGTTTTGTGGTGGACTTGCTGGTCAGGTTCTTTAGATGTCAGCGCAGGTATAAATCTTATATATGCCGGCTTTTATTTCTTCTTTTGGTGCTGACTTGGTTGGGGTACGCCATATCTTCCCTTCCAAACTCTGTAGCTAAACATGGCGAATGGTCAACATTTGCCACCTGTTGCTTGTGGTGCTTCACACATGACAAGAAGCTGACTTGAGGTGCGGATGGATTTTGAAGGATGCGTGTTGTGCTCTCCCATTTCCCCTCCCTCCCCCCCCGTTGTGTTTTCAAATGCTTAAATTGGATCCTTTTCCTGTAACCGGTTGAGCCTGCCCTCGTGCCTAAAATCCAGGGAACAAATATAGCAACGAGGTGGACATCCAGGTAGGGATTAGACGGTGGGTGGTCAAAGTGTGGAAGATAAGATACCTCTGTTGTAACTCGTCTTGCTAGGTTTAGGATTGGTGCGTGACAGGTGCATTCTGCAAATGTAATTGGAAGTAGACAAAAGTAGTAAGACAACGCAACGAAGCCTTGTCTCTCGAGAGGGAAAGAAAATTCCCACCTCATGAAGATGGAATTAGGACTTCTGAAAAAATAAGAAGCAACAGGGGAAGTTGCCTTTATTCAGATTTTTAATTCATTTGCTTTGGAAGGGCTAGTCAGGTTTTCATTCGGCATGCGGTAGGTTTTTGTGTTTTAAGCTAAGACATTTGAGGCGGAATCTGGGAATTTTCTGCATGCAAAAGTTTCACCCCTTTTTTATTTTAAGAAACACATGGAACCTTCCGATCTCTTTATGTTAATGTTTTTTTTCGGAAAGTTTCCCAGGAAGGGAGCGAGACTGGATTTTGTCTGTGTGATTTTAGAAATAACTGCCTCTAGCGTTCATATTTAGACAATAAATCCAGCGGCGTTAAAAGCCATAAAAGTCTTCATAGCTAAAGAAACAAATGTAAATAGGTTGTCCGTAGCCAAGAGAAGTTGTAGGTTGGGTAACTTTTTTTAAAATTTGAGTGTGTTTTCCGAATGCCATCCCTCCTCTTGTTTAAATGACAGCTTTGCAAAGTTCTTTGCGGCCAAGACTGATGCTTCGGTCTCTCTTCCTTTGCCTTGGTGTTCGTTGAAAACTCTGTTTAAAAAGCATCGTAGCCATCATTGCTTAGGAGAAAAAAAAGACTCAAGTGGGACATAATTGCACTGTTTTTTTTTTTTTTTACTGTAAACAACTTTCTGTTTGCATCTGCTGTAGCTGTTGGCATATACTGTATAGTGTTCGAGCTCACCAGGAGAGAAATGTCCGTCTTCGTTGTTATGTCTGTGTACCAAATGGCATGTTTTACAGTGTTAAGAGAAGGTCTGAATGTACGTAACGGCCTTTGCAGTTTTTCCATTTGAGTGTCACTGGCTTTATTTTGTTTTATACGCTTGGTGAATGTTTGCCTGCCTGTATCTGTCCCTTCTTGTCCCCCAAAATGCACTTTGGTTGTCAAACACACGTCTCTCCCCATCTTGGCTCCCCGAACAGAATTGGATACAGGTAGCTCCCCGGTGCAAAGATAAGTGGCCTTCTTGATTGTCGTCCAGGTTTCTCAAACGTTACACAAAATGCAGCTGGCAGGGAACTGTGATCCATCTCAGATGATTTCACAAGAACTGCAGGCTCAAAACCAAACAATCATCAGTAGTTAGGAAGCAAAATAGAAACCTTGGTTCTTTTTTTGGGGGGGGGCTTTATTCTTGCTTCACTGCCCCTTGACATCGTCATTCTGATCAAGGGGGTAGCCATATGGATAGCTGTCACTTGGGAGTGATTTTGATGCTCCTTCGTCCGGTGACCTTCAAGGAATTAACCACGTCTTAACAA